CCTCCACGGCGCTCCGCTCCGCGCGCCGCCGCGCGAAGACGGGGCGGCAGACTCATTCCGAGAGTCGTTTTCGTCGCTGTGTCTCTCTCCCACCTACAGGGAACGCCACATGGGTGCGGGAGAGACAGAGCGACGAAAACGACTCTCGAAACCATTCTGCTGCTGCCCCGATAAGAGAAACTATCTACATGCAGTCGTCCAATGCGATTTACATTGGCGTACGGTTGTAAAGACTGAAACGTGCGAGGGCGCGCAGGGCGCACACCAAAACATTGAAATAATATGTCTCAATGAGCCGGAATTATCCACGTCCCTCCCTCTCGCACTCTCGCGCACAAAGCATGGCGACCGAGCAACAGGAGGGCGTTGCTCTCTCTCTCTCTCTCTCTCTCTCTCTCTCTCTCTCTCTCTCTCCCTCTCCTCTCTCTCTCTCTCCCTCTCTCTCTCTCTCTCTCTCTCTCTCTGTCTCTCTCTCTCTCTCTCTCTCTCTCTCTCTCTCTTTCCCTCCGGCGGGACATTCGAGATCCGATTCCATTTATTTGCTTATTTATTAGTGTGGGCGTGGCGAGGTGAGTCGCCGCCGAGCGCGATTTGGCGCTGTTTACCCAGGTGGCCACCAGGCGGCGCTGGCACCGCGGGACGCACAGGGACCCCGCAGTGTTTAGAATGCAAGCCGGCGGGGCAGAGAGTGAGAGAGAGAGGGGGGAGGGAGGGGGAAAATTGCCTCCTCAGAATAAAGAGAGCAAAACGGAGGAAAAAAGTGCTGTACGCCAGCGCGGGCTGCGACTTAACGAATTCGTCGTTACACACAAACACCACCGGAGAGAGAGAGAGAGAGAGAGAGAGAGAGAGAGAGAGGAGAGAGAGAGAGCGACGAGCAGTTGTTTGCAACACGCAACGGAATTTCCACAGCAGAGAGCGCGCCCACACCTTTCACCGGATTTCAGGGACTTACGTCTCGTTACCGGCTTGAGTTGTGGCCGTGCTGCTCGGCGCCAAGCGCTGCTTATGACTCGATTTTAATAATTTAATTTACTCGACGTTTTGTTTCCTCTACACTTTTCTCTTATCATTATGCACATGACTGTCCGCACCGCGTCGATACTCCGTCCGCAGCAGAAGTTTGCCTTCGTTCCATGAGCAATCATATTGTTGTTCGCGGACCTTGGGTAATTGCCCGACCACACTGCGTCGCCCTGCCGGCGGCTTCCCCGACGGCCGCGCCTGTCTCTCTCGCACTCGCGGGGCGTCCCGTGCGGGAGCGAGAGAGACAGACAGTGTTTTGGAGTCGGCCGACTGCGCACACGCGTAGTTTGCACACAACAGTTTTGTCGTCACGCCCCACCCGGCCCTCCCAGTGTAGCGCCCTTTCACCACTCCAACTGCTGTCGAACTGTCCGTCCGCGCTCGGCAAACTCCGCCCCCCCTCCCCCTCCCCCAATTAGCTTCCGGACAAGGGCCGGGTAGCTCGGCGGGTAGGAGCCCCGGGACGTCCTCGAGCAGCAGACTGATTCCGAGAGTCGCTCCGTCTCTCTCGCACTCGTGGGGCGTGCTGAGTGGGTGCGAGAGAGACAGAGCGAGGACTCCTTGGAATCGGTCCGCAGCGGCGGCGCGACGGGCGTGGCAATGGCATTGAGGCAAGGCGAACACAAACCCGTTTTACAGCGTGGGCACAGCCAAGGCGCAGCCAAGGCGCAGCCTTGGAAGTTTGGGCGTCAGTGACTGTCACAGCGAGCCGCGGACCGCCATGACGACTCCCAGCACCACTCCAACGACCAGCCTTGGGTGTACACGCGAGCAAGGCGGTGCATTCGGCGGCCTCGTTCAACTTCGCGTTTGACGCCGAGAGACTTGGCGCGAGGGCCGCTGTCTGCGGGGAAGGGCAGCAAAGGGAGGGGGCTCTCACGCACACACAGTCACGGTGTTTGCGCGCACCGCCTATGAAACCGACCGTGATATATGCAAAGTCTTGCCATTGCAAGGCCAAGTTTATTGCGAAGCGCATATTCGCGACAGATGGCGCCACAAGCAGCTAAAGGAGGGGGGGGGGGGCACGCTGCGTTGCACTATCTCCGGCAGGAGCTCCCGAGGCCGCAACAACGCGAAGGACTGGGTCCACACGGTAAACCTCGCACAGTAGTAGCGAGTAGGCACCACAGCGAGGGGGTATGCACTCGCGTAATAGTCGGTTCACTCTATGTGTAATAGCACGCGTAATAATACGCGTAATAGTCGCGTAATAGCCGAAATTGTCAAAATTTGATCAATTTTGGTGTGTTTTAGGCCGTTTTTTAGCTAAATTCCGATTAATTTGTGGCGTAATAGAGCGTAATGGCGTAATAGTCGGTACACAGGTTCAGAGAGCGCATACCCCCTCGCACCACAGTGTGGTAGACGCAGGCCGGCGGCAGCGCCGGCTTTAGCCTTTCCCCGTTTGACATTTATTCGTTCCCGAAAAGTTTTAACGAAGCGTCGTCCCGCCCCTTCTCCGCCGCCGCAAACTCCTTCTCGGCGGAACAGTCGTCGCGACACCCGGAGCGCGGCAACTCGTATACAATGAAATAAAAAAAGAGTAAGAACAAAAATGGCGGGCGCTTTGTCCCGAAGGAAGTCGCAGGATCGGTCTACACGGAGTGCAGCGCACTGTAAGTGACGCGACAAAGGCACGGAAGGCGCGGGCAAGCCGGGCAAGCTGCCGCCAGCGGAGCAGCGGGAGAAACAGACATGAACAAAGCCCGGGCCGGAACGCCAAGAAGTGCATCAGGAAGGACGGCGGGGTGGGGGTGACCCGAGGGGTGAGCAGCGCTCCAAAATAGCATTAAGGGATTTTTTGCAAGTACGTGCGGAGAACAGGGACAGTCTCGCGAAAGGGGCAGTACAGACAAAAGCAGGTCGACGCGGCCGATGCAGCGGGTACTGCTGCAACGGCACGACAAAGACTGACGGTCGCCATCCGTCAGAGCGGCATGAGGTCGACCGGCTCGCGGACTGACTCCGAGAGTCGTCGCTCTGTCTCGCGCTCGCCTCGTGTGGGTGCGAGTGAGACGGAGCGGCGACCCTCGGAGTCAGTCTGTCCAAACGGGCGGCAATAAGTGAGGCGGCAGGAAGCGGCAACGACTCCCCGGCCGTCCGTTCGCCGCTCCATCATTTTGGAAAACGGCTAATTTGGCGGTGAGGCGGTGCCGGGGCCGGCGGGCTGCGTCGGGGCGGTGCTCCGTCCCTCTCGCACTCTCGCAGCACTCCGCGGGGGTGCGAGGGAGAGAGAAGATTCGGAGGCAGCTCGCCGTCTCGGTCGCGCGGTGCAGGGGGGGGGGGGGGGGGGGGGTCGCGGTGGCCATCCGTCAGCCTCGCGGTTCTTTCGGCCTTTGGGCTTTCGGCTTTTCGGCGCGACGGAAGCCGGAAACAGTCCTTCCAGCCCGCCAGCCAGCCAGCCAGCCAGCCAGCCAGCCCGTCATGCACGGCTTCATCACGGGCCAATGACAGAGCGGCACCCTGCTTCCGGCCGCCGCGGCGGACTGATTCCGAGAGTCACTCTCGTCGCTCTGTCTCTCTCGCACCGAACCGGGACGCCCCACGAGTGCGAGAGAGACGGAGCGACCCTCGGAATCAGTGCTGCTGGAGCCGCAGGCCGATCGGCCTAACAACGAGACAACAACAACTAAAAGCAGTTTGACTCGACAAATGTTTTAAAAATTTAAATTTTTTGAAGCACTGTTTGCTACGCTGGACGAAAAGTGTTGATTTGGCGTGACCCGAAAACAAAACAAGGCCATTATTTCAAAAATGAAAAATTGCGAACATTTTTTTTTTCCCGCGCGGAATTCCCGATGGCGCAATGGCGTGTCACGTCGTTTCCCCCCGGCCTGGCGGCGGTTCGCGCGCATCCTCGGCGGCAGAGCCGTCGCTCCGTCTCTCTCGCACTCGTGGCGCGTCCCGTATGGGTGCGAGAGAGACGGAGCGACGACCCTCGGCTGCCCCTATATTGGCGTTGGGCGTCTTGGTTCGATGGCTCGATATTCCGAGGCACCTTTTCGGAGCGGTCTGGCGTGGCCTGGCGCGGTGGCCGGGCGCTGCCGGCCGGTGCCAGCTGGCGGGGGGCAAGATTCAATCAGAAGGACCGCAGCCCCCCCTCCCCCCCTCCCCTCCAGTGGCGCGGGGCCACCAGCAGTGCCAACTTAATTGGTGGCGCTATCATCCCCGTGGAATGCTCCGGGTAATGGCGGCAGGTTGGCGGCAGGTTGGCGGCCTGAGGTGTGTAGCGCTCCAGACCGCAGGGAGCGCTGTCCATTCCAAGGGGGAAAGGGGGGGGGGGCGATTACTTACCAAGCCGCGATCCGGCGGCCCGATCCATTTTAGTAGTTTGCAAAGACAACGATGTGTTACACCGGCCGCGCCGCCGCCCCTATGCCTGCAGACTGATTCCGAGAATCGTTTTCGTCGCTCTGTCTCTCTCGCACCTTTACGGAGCGCCCTACGAGACGAAGAGAGACAGAGCGACGAAAAGGACTCTCGGAATCAGTCTGCTGGCCACGTGACCCGCGGCCCATTCGTCTCCATTCCATGCACGCCTTTTTGGCGCGCTGATTCGGGCGGCGGGTAGCAGGCAGCCGCGGAGGGGAGGGGGAGGGGGAAGGGTTGACTGACTCACACACCTCTATCGAAATTTTCGCCACGTCGCTGCGACTCCATTGAACCCTGGAGGAGGAAATGGGAGAGGGGGAGGGCGCCTCTTCGCCTGCTCCACGGGGCTCGCTGCACACTCCACGCTCCGGGCCCATCGCAAACGAAGGATTCGGGGAGGGGGGGGGGGGCTTTTTCTGACGTGTGTGTAAGGGGGACGTCCAATCTTCCGAATCATCGGCGCCGCGTCGTCACCGGCCGGCTCGGGCCGGCTCATCGAACGTGCGGCGGCCGTTGTTCGGTCTCTCTCGCACACCGCCGGGGCCCCGCACCAGTGCGACAGAGACTGACGGGGTCAGCACGGCGAAAAAGAGACTCACCATTAACCAGGATGCGTGTCCGGATGAGCTTGGGCGGGTGCGTGGAGATCTGGCACTCGTACATGCCCTCGTCCTGCTTCGTCATGTTCTGCACCGTGAGGCGCCAGTTGTTGGGGTAGAGGAACTCGACGGCGTGCCGCGCGTCCCCGGAGTACGTCATCTGGCCGACGGTGAGGAGGCGCAGCGAGTCCTCGCTCGGCTTGCGCAGCACCCAGGACACCTGTCAATCACATCAGGAACTCGTTAGCAGCAGGTACGCCAGGCGGGGCGGGGTGGGACGCCGTCAGGGGAGCCTGGAAGCGGGCCAGCAGGCGCCGACGGCGAAGGCTATCCTGAAAACGAGGGGCAACGTCATTTTCCAACTAAAATCAAGACGTGCCAGAACTTATTTTGTTTCAGCGTTTCATCTGAAAAAGGACACTCCCGTATCAGCCATCCATGATAGATGTCTCCGCGTTTTTTTCCAGTGTGAATTGGCGCGCTCGACGTCCTTTCTTCATTCAACGGTCCAGCAGAAACAGTGCTCCGAGGCAGGAGCGGCGGGCCCTGTGCTGCCTGGGCCCTAGGCGGGCCGGCGGGGCGCGGCGCGGGGCTAGTTGCTGGGTCGGTCCCATGATGAATAGCGCTGTCTTCAGGGGCCGGGCGAGCCGGGCGGCGGCCCTAGGCGGCCCGGGCTGAGCTGAGACGTATAAGTAACTGTTTGCTTTCCTCACAAAGCCAATTGAATTTATCGTCTGCTTTCAAGCCGGCCCCGCCGCGCCGCGCCTCGCCCCACTTCGCTCCGCCCCGCCGCGCCCCATTCGTCTCCTTCAAGCACCGCGCCAAAATTCAAAAGCGGAAGCCCTTCGCTACCCCCGGCTGGCTCCATTTCCTAGTGGAGGAACCCTCACTATTGACTGGGATCAGGGATCGGCCTCGGAGGTCACAACGTAAAATCACCAAGACCGACGTGCCGACGCATTTTTCATCTTTCGCAGACCGTCCAGGTCCAAGGGCAGGTCGCGCACGCGATAAGCCCGAGGGCCAGCAGACTGATTCCGAAAATCGGTTTCATCGCTGTCTCTCTCTCTCGCACCTGTACGGGACGCCCCATGAGTGCGAGAGAGACAGAGCGACGAAAACGACTCCGGCCTTTGCGGCGGCTGACCGAAAGGCCTTATGGATTGCCCAGACGAGATGCTTGTCAATATGGCATGATGCGGCCAAGTTTGCAGACGGGTTGCACGCCTTTGTCTGGGGCCCGGCCTGCCTGGTCTGACCCCCCCGCGGGGAGGGGGGGCATCGCGCTCGCTGGTGGCGCCCCAAGGCAATATTTCAGCCTTCGGCCCGTCAATGTACGCGCTAATTCGGCCTGCTGACCCCGGGCCGAGCCGAGCCGAGCCGGGCCGAGCCGAGCCGGGCCGAGCCGAGCCGAGTCACGCAGCCGACGAGGGGCATTTGTTTTTCTGTCGCGAGGTAAGCAGGCATTTTCCAAATAAATGCCCCCGCGCGACGAGCGCCGTCGCTAAGGGCGAGAAAAAGGGTTCGGGCGGCTACTCCACTGTGGGGATTCCGAGGGCAGGGCCCGGCGGGACCCAAGGCGCGGCTCTGCGGGCTCAGCCAGCGCTGAATTGCAGGGGCGGAGGAGCAGCAAGCGCGAGCGACGGAAAAAAATATCGGACAAAGTGGGTCGGGAAGGCGATTTGCTGGCGTTGAGTAATTAACGACCGCCCCTCCTTCCTTCTCGTCCCTGCCCAGCACACTGCCCAGCGCTAATGCGCGCCGCCAAAGCGTCGCGGGTTCGATTCCCACCGCCGCTCCAACTCTTTTTTTTTTTTTTTGAGGGTTATGCTGGGTCAGGATTTGCGTTTGCGCACGTGAAAGAAGGATGCTGGTGGGAATACAAGGTCTGGAGCGTGAGAGAAAAATAAACAGCGCGCAGCAAACAGAGGCAGGATCGCGTTGCCCGCCCTCCGCCGTTTAATCCGCGGCCGACAAGGTCCCTGGCCGCACCGCGGACGCGAGCGGCGGCGCGAGCCTCGTGGAATCGCAACCCCCCGCCGAGGCCCGGCACAGGCCCCACAGGCCCGCCCCGGCCGACGGCGCGGCAGCGCGGCACAGCGCCGCTGCTCGGCTCACCGCGCGGCAAAGTAAAGTGCGGCGTGGTAGTCTTTGGAGCGAGGCCGCCGCCAGGGCGGAATGCTCAGGTCTAATCTCCTTCAACGCGTCAACGAGTTTGTGGAGCTGGCGTACAATTCCTCACGCACCGGTGCAAAACATTAAAAATAAAAATTTTCTCCCCCCTCAAAAAAAAATCTCATTCAAAGAACGTTAATGAAAGCAGATGATCCATCGCGTTTCACAACTGCTGTGATAGCCGAGAGGTTAGTGACGTGGGATCGAGTTACCGCAGGCGGGCGTTCGAATACCAGCGGCACATACGTTTTTTCGACTTACTATCCTAAGGGTGGTGGTACGAGGCCATCCGAGCGGAGCCGTGTGCAACACACCCACATGCCGGAGGTTCGACTCCTAACAAATATTTCCATTTAATTTTACTGCCTCACCCAGTGCGGTTGAAACCCGTGAACGTGAGCCCACTCCGTGCATGGGACGTGGTGGTCCAGGGAGTAGAGGCGTCGATTCCCAATGCTAGGGTCGGCGGTTCGACTCCCCCAACTTCTTGCGAAATTTTGACCGGGTCAGTCGAGTCCTGTTGCGTCAAGAACCCACCTCACGCCGGTCCCCTCATCATGGGCCGTGGTGGCCGAGAGCGTAAAGTCGTGTGATCCCGGTGGCGGGGTCCGGGGATCGAATCTCATCATTTCGTTACATTTTTCGACTGCCTTCCTCCCACTGCAACTCAAACCCGTCGTCCAACACGCTGCCAGACGTACAAGCGTGATAGCGTAGTGGTCAGAGTCACATTCACCTGGCCACTCCGCTGTGGGTGTCTAAAAAGCAATCCGCTTCGGCGGGTTGGCCTCGGCACTGGAGCGATGGAGTATTTGATCCATCAATCCAGACCATCCGGTGTGTGGTTGCGGGTGGTGCCTCCTTGACTCGTCGGGGAGGCGATGATAAGTCCTTTGAAGCTGGCCTAAAACGCTGTATGTTCGGTACGGGAGCGCCGGACAGTGGGGGTACCATGGGGTACACAACCAACCCTACGAAAACAAGAAGCTCCCACCAAACCTCTTCTCTGTCTGAGTCTCTCTCTGTCTCTCTGTCGTCTCACTCTACGTCCCGCCCCTCAAAGAGCTTCGTACTGGGTGCTCTCACCCAGCTGCCTGAGCTTTGGGGTCCTACTGGGTCCCCCGGCGAACGCTTAGAGTCGCTGACGGGATTAACCCCAGGTACCTGATAGCACCGGTTCCCATCCCGAACACCGAAGTAAAGCAGGAGGCCTCCCCATTAAGACTGGGGAGGGGGTGTAGAGTTCAAATTTTTTTCTTTTCCCTTTCAAATTTCTCAGTCAATCCCCCGGACCTCCCAGCGGGGCTGTGGAGGCGTCTTCCTGGCGGAGTGGGCGGGGGCGGGGCGGGGCGGGGCGGGCGGGGCGGGGCGGGGCGGGGCGGGGGCGGGCGGGGGGGGGGCGGGGGGCGGGGGCGGGGCGGAGGCGGGGTGGGGCGCGGCGGGGGACGCCGCCGCCGACATCTTTTTGGTCGGCAAGCAGAGGCGGTGTGTATCTTTGCGCGTCTGCCATTGAATTGAATGGCGGCAAACTCGGTCCAGGGCCGCCGCGCCCGCGAGTGCGAGAGAGACAGAGCGACCACAGCGCGGCAAGTCAAAACGACGTGGACTTTCCCTCCCTCCCTTCGCGTTCGCACGCCGGCGAGGCCAGCAAGTGCCTCGGCGTGCCTCGGCGGCGGCGAAAACGCGGTGGAGCGCGGCGCGTCGAGGGCCGCGCCGACACTGGTGTAAATCAACTCAGAAATTTTCTGATACTTTTGCATATCAGAACATTTCTCATGTCTGAGTTCTGATGTTTTTTCGGACACCTATTTCTGATGTTTGTGTTTCTGATGCCTCAATTTTTTGATGACTTTAGTTCTGATAACATCGGCTGAACTTATAAAGAAATATATCAGAATAATCATTTTCTTTTGTAAATATATTTTTTGATCTACATGAGACTCGGAAACGGGGAAAACGTCTTCAGGGGGTCGAAATCGAGTCCGATCCAAATCTGCAGTCCAAATTGAGCTAGCTCGCCATCAACTCTCAAAAAGACAGTAAATGTGATCCGATCTCGTTGAGATAAAAACTGGCCTAGCCAAATCTTGCAAACAAGACACTCACCAAATTTGAAATTGAAATTACGTAAATTTTGTATTTTACAGGGATCTCATTTTTTTTGAACATCAGACATCAGAAACATTTCTGACAATTATATTTCTGATAACTAGCAGTTATCAAAAATCAGATCGACTTATCAGAAAGGCCTCTTTTTCTGATGTCTCTATTCTGATAACCTATGAAAGTATCAGAAAAAAACATTTCTGATGACCTCTTTCTGATAAATCATAGACGTTATCAGAAAATACTCGAAATCTGATGTTTTTTTGTCAAGTTATCAGAAAATCCACCGTTTATCAGAAAATTTCTGAGTTGATTTACACCAGTGGAGTCTCCGAGTTCGCGGATTGGACAATGAGCCCCGCGGAGCCCCGCGGAGCCTTGCCGCCTCGGACAGCCAGCAGACTTCCGAGAAGCGTCTGTCGCTCCGTCTCTCTCGCACTCATTGGGCGTCCCGTGTAGGTGGGAGAGAGACAGAGTGACGAAAGACGGAATCAGTCTGCAGCGCAGCCCGGCGAAGCCCCACGGGCTGCGAGACGGCGGGGGCGGGGCGGGGAAGGCGGAGCCACCAACCAGCCGGAAACAAAGGCCTTCCCTCGCCCACGCCACCGCCAGCGCGCCGCCCAGCCGCTTTCATCAAAAAAGGCGCGAGATGGAGTCGGGCGAGGCGAGGCGTGGCGGAGCCTGTCAATGACCACACCCAATCACGGGGGGGAGAGAGAGAGAGAGAGAGAGAGAGAGAGAGAGAGAGAGAGAGAGAGAGAGAGAGAGAGAGAGAGAGAGAGAGAGAGAACCAGGTTAGGCCACGTCAAAACATTTCCCAGAGCGATGCCGTACTAAGCTGCTGGCCGGGCCGCAGCCGACTGGCCTACCCGCACCCCGGGCCGCCTTCGCCGTCACGTCACAGCCTCGAGGTGCAGCGTGTGAAAAACCGATGAAAAATGTGTCACTGTTTCTCATGCGCGTGTGTGTGTGTGCGAGTGCGCGCGTGTCAAGGGGATTGGGGACAGGGGGCGAAGCCTGTCCGGCGAGGTGCCCGCCCCGCCTCGCCCCGCCCCGCCCCGCCCCGCCTGTCGACACTACCCCACCTCGCCCCCTCTCCCTTCCACCCCCGCCTCCATTCCCCACGCCTCGCCACGCTCGCTGAGCGCCTCGGTGTGACACCTCTGGAGGCATGCGTGCGTGTGAGACACGCGTGACAGAAACGGCTTGGGAGAGGGAGAGAGAGAGAGAGGGAAGGGGTAGCTTGGTGTGATAAGCCACATACTAACGGGCCCTCCCTCCTCGTTCTACATGTCTCTCTTATCCGCGCCCCGGCTTTTCCGCTGTTTATCTCGGAGTTTAAATTCAATTACGTTTTAGTCACGAGGCAGCCGCTTGCTCCGCGCGCCGCGCGCGTAGTTAGTGAATTTTATTCATGCGGTGTAGGTGCGAGGCAATAATCGAAAAATTATTCCGCGTTTCTTCCACCAGGCCAGGTGTGAAAAAAAGAGGGAAAAGCATTCGCGCGTGGTTAAGCAGTGCTGTGCTCTCCTTGCTGCTTGACACCCCGTATTTATTCTCTCGCTCCAGCCAACACGTACACACACTTTCTCTCTCTCTCTCTCTCTCTCTCTCTCTCTCTCTCTCTCTCTCTCTCTCTCTCTCTCTCTCTCTCTCTCTCTCTCGCACACACACACACACTTCCGGATTCTAGCCGCTGGCCTGCTCACACACACACGCACACACACCTACACACACAAAAAAAAATCGCTGCAACTTTCGATGGGCTTCTTACATTATTTACAGTCTGAGACGAGACCTATCAAAGCCACACTGCAAACACACACACACACACACACACGCACACACACCAAGCTGTCAGCCTGCTTGGCGCGTTCTCTCTCTCCCCAGCGGGCCCCTCTCTCTTCGCCCTGATTTCCGATAGTGGTTCCCTACTGCCCCTAGTGGACCTGAGTCTGCGGGCCTCTCTGCCGCGCACCAGGCCTCGGCCACGCCTCCCCAAAGGCCCCACGCTATAAAACAGCAAACCTCGGAGACAACTTGCCACCGCGGGGCCAAACTGCCCAACACGCAACAGCCAGGCAACAGCCCGCTGAGAGCCCCAAGCCCCTTCCCCGATCTCTGAAAGGGGCCGCCTGCCGGAGTCGATCGCTATCACCACCCCAAATGACAAATTTGGCGTTCGGCCGTGTTCGGGGGGGAGGGAGGTGCGAGAGACTTTGACGTTCGGTTCGCTGACGCAACCCGTTTGCCGACCAGCAGACTGGTTCCGAGAGTCGCCCGAGACTCTTTGGAATCAGTCCGCCCGCAGTGCATGTCCGCTCGGACCACCAAGCCTCGTCCGCCGAAAAGCAATTCGCTTATTTGTTTGCAGTGGCGCGACGTCGCCGCGGCACCTCATTACCAGTGGAGTGGGTCGATGCCTTTCCGCCCTACTTGCTCGTTCAAGGCTGTGGGCGTGTGTGTCTGTGTGTGTGTGTGTTTTACGCTACGCTGGTGAGGCATCCCAGGGGAACATTGAACCGAGCCACGAAAACCAGCGCGACCCTGGCAACTCCGTGCCTGATTGGTGGAGAGCAGCGGTCAAGCCAGGCCTCGGCCGGCCACGGCCCTGAGCTCCGAGCCTCGCCTCGGCCCCGGCCTCCTCAGCGACCACTTGAAGGCGCGGCCAAGTTTCGCGGCCGAGAGCTCGCCTCGGACGAGGCGGGGTTCAACCGTACGGGAAACCAAACCGTTCGGGGAAGACCGAACAGTGTGGGGCACTGATTTAGAAAAAAAATATAAGGGACGTTGGTGAAGATGTCGGGACATTCCATAACAGCGAGACTTCAACAAAAGCGACGATGTGCACTGGGTCGTGGTGTCCCGCGCGGCTCCAGAGCCCCGCCCCCGAGGTTCTCCAAGACGCGCCGCGCGGCCCCGAGGGGGGACAACTCCGCCAAGGAGGGGCCCAGATAGCGCCGAACGTGCAATTAATTTGTTGTCATTTTAAGAAGAATCCTTTCTTTCCTCGTCCCGGCAGACCAGACAGGAACCGCGGGAGGAGACGAAGAAATGGCTCGCATGCCCGTTGTCATGTTGGCCAAACTTTTCTGTTGCCTTTCATAACGTTTTTATCGGCTTGTGTCATGCCTTAAAATGGGATAAGCAAAAAAAAAAAATGTTGTTTTTTTTTGTGGTTTTTTTTTTGCTGAGCGAAGCGAAGCACCCTGTTTGGGATTTTGAATAGCTCATTTGTCCGACCCCCCCCCTGATACCTTTAGTTTACAAGAGGTATCTTCCTCTGTTTATTTTTACTATATTCATATGCGTATACATAGTCGAAGCTCCATAGTCCAAGCTCTATAGTCCAAGCTCTATAGTCCAAGCTCCATAGTCCAAACTCTATAGTCCAAGCTCCATAGTCCAAGCTCCATAGTCCAAGCTCCATAGTCTAAGCTCCATAGTCCATATTCTATAGTCCAAGCTCAACAGTCCAAGCTCCATAGTCGTACGCCAAGCTTCATAGGCCATTTAGTTTGAGAATAAGATCTGTCGCGAGTAGGGTATGATCTTTCGCGAGTAGAGGAAGATCTGTCACGAGCCCGTTAGGTTAGGTTAGGATTGGTTGGACCATTTAGTTTGAGAATAAGATCGGTCGAGAGTAGGAAAAGATCTGTCACGAGTAGAGAAAGATCTGTCACGAGCCCGTTAGGTTAGGTTAGGATTGGTTAGACCATTTAGTTTGAGAATAAGATCTGTCGAGAGTAGGGTAAGATCTGTCACGAGTAGAGTAAGATCTGTCACGAGCCCGTTAGGTTAGGTTAGGATTGGTTGAATCATTTAGTTTGAGAATAAGATCGGTCGAGAGTAGGGAAAGATCTGTCACGAGTAGAGAAAGATCTGTCACGAGCCCGTTAGGTTAGGTTAGGTTTGGTTGGACCATTTAGTTTGAGAATAAAATCTGTCGAGAGTAGGGTAAGATCTGTCACGAGTAGAGTAAGATCTGTCACGAGCCCGTTAGGTTAGGTTAGGATTGGTTGGAACATTTAGTTTTAGATTATTAAATAGCCTTCCGTCGATTCAAGGAGAAACCAACCATTGCCGAATCACAATCCTTTGCGCAAAAGCATACTTCCTGGCTATCACCCCCCAAAAAGAAAAGAGGCTCATTTTCAAAATAAACACATCCAAATTTACTACTGATGAAAATGCATTTCCATCTCCAGCAGAATCCAGCTCAGCATCGAGGCCGAAGGCCTTCCCCTGGCTAGTAAATTGAGAGTGGGAGGCTCTACTGCAGGGGTGGCCCCGCCTCCGGCAGACTGGTTCCGAGAGTCGTTTTCTCGGAATCAGTCTGCAGCAGAAGCAAAGCGCTGCGCCTCCACAGGCGACGCCCCGGCGCTCGTTTCCGAGAACTCGAAACCTCGGCGAGTCGCCCAATTCGCTGACCCACTGGAAGTGACGCGCCGAGCCGCGACGGCCCCCTGCATCGGAACGAGGTCCTCCGCTGCGTTCTACGAAGGTCTCAAAGGAGGGGGAGACTCACCGCGTTGTCCTGCAGCAGGCTGATCTTGCAGTCGATGGTGGCGGTGTTGCCCACCTGCACCGTCATGCTGGTGGCGTTCGTCTCGAACGTGGGGCCGAAGCGCTGGTTGTGGTGCATGTGCTTGTGCGCCGACGACCGCGCGTCGTAGATGTAGTTGAGCATGGGGGAGTCCGTGGCGCCCTTGGCGGAGGCGGCGGAGGCGGCGGGGGCCGTCCTCTGCGTCGACAGCACCACCACGTCTCCGGGGCCGGCGGCGTAGCTGATGCCGGCCGAGAGCGCGGCGGACAGCGCGGCGGGGGTCGGGGGCGCGGCGGCGGGCGGCAGGGAGGTCGCCGCCGTCGTCCGCCAGGTGGACAGCGACGTGGCCGCAGACGACGGCGACGGAGACGGCAACGACGATGACGTCGTCGGCGGTGGCGGAGTCGGCGCCATCGTGGAGGTAGACGACGGCAACGCCGACGTCTGCGGAGAGTCTGCAACACGAGGAAGACCATCGTTACCAACACGCCTAATGCTCCGGATGGAGACAACTTGCCACAGTGTGGGGAGCTGTGATGGTGAAAGAGAGAGAGAGAGAGAGAGAGCGAGAGAGAGGGAAGCGGAGAAGGGGTGGAGTGAAAAGGTATACACCGCCCCCGCCACAACGCGCTCCGTGGATAATTGTTTGCGCAAACACGTTTAATTCATAAAGTTATGTCTGGTCACGTGACACGCCTACATTTCCAAGCCAAACACACACAGTCACACGGCGCGGCACGCTCGTTCACGGGTACACGCGCGGGAAGGCGAACAAGAAGCAGTGTGGCGGTTTTCACCGTAGGCAGTCAAAAACTTTGTCACAACGGGCATGGCCTTTCCGTTTGGAGTGGACTGTCCCACGCAGTGCCACGCAGCGGTGCAGCGCGTTGAAGAGCCGCCCGGAGTTTTCATTTCGAGGAACACCGTCGGCCTGCGCCCTCCACAGCATCAAGTTGTACCAGCGCCATAACCCCGTTCCGTTCCGTTCCGTGCCCCGCCCCCATACGCAAATAGTACCCCTGCTTCGCTGCTCCGGGGTCCCCGAGAGCCTCGCCGAGTGCGCCAGCGCCGCGCCGGGCACTCTCCTCCCCCTCCTTCAAGTAAGGCGAGGTTTAGTGCCATGTCCTGTCGCAGCCACCGCGCCAAATAATTAAAACAAAAGATTCAGCAGGGAGCGGCGCGACATCGCCACCACATTCACATCCAGATCCACTGCGGCGACTGCGGCACACATTCACATTGCCACAGTGCCGCGTGGCGTGGCATTCGCACAGTGGGCCAGAGGGCCGGTGGAGGCGGTCAAAATCCCGGACGGGTTTTGAGCTCTAGAATCGCTAAATAGGACTCGAACCGGCCGTGTGACCCCACCAATGGATTGCTCTCCGAACGAGAAATCCATTGGTGGGGTCACACGTTCGGTTCGACTCCCATTTAGCGACTCTGGAGCTCAAAACGCGTCTAGAGTTTTGGCCACCTCCACCGGTTGGCCCACTGCGCCTGATAGACAAGCGCCAAATTGGTGGCCTTCTTTAATTTCTGTTTCCCCCGAGACCCCGAGGCCCCAGCGATCGCGGATTGGACCCGGATCGCACTTAGAGTGCCGCAGCCCGGACGCCACCTTTTTTGCGACGGGCCCACCATTCGGGGAATTGGTTGGGCGTGCGCAGATTTGGAACACACCCAAAAGTATGAAGCACTTCAGAGAAAGAACGGTGGGGAGGGGAGGGGGCTGGCCGGTCCGGGCCAGAGCGGAGCAGAGAATCAGTAGGCGAAAGTTGACGAGAAGGGGCTAGGAAGGCATTTGCACGCACAAGCGGCACAAGCGGCACAAGCAAAAGAGGAGAGAGGCAAAGTTTGGCGGATGCGTTTGTTTTATCGTGACCCCGCTTCCTGAGGGGCAGCGAGCCGCAGCGACCCGCGCGGCCCCTGGGGAGGGCGAGGCGAGGCGGCCCTCGGCCAGCGAGTCAGTGTCGTGGAAACATGCACCAGCAGACGTGTGCAGTTAGCGAGTTCCGAGAGAGACACGCCGAGACCGCCAGGGCCAAGACCACGGCCACGCTGTCACGCTCCGCGAGGGGGAAGGGAGTCTCTGCCTCGGCGCTGTCGGCCAGTTGACACACTTTCCGATGGGAATTCTGGAAAAGATTCATTCGTACATATTGTTTGTCGTGCTGGGCTGGGTCCCTATTTGAACTGTCTGTTGGCAGAGAGTGAGCGTGTATGTATGTGTGTGTGTGTGGTTTTTCATTTCAACTCGGTGTTCTGCGGGATTGGCAACCCTGCTAAGCAAGGGGCGGCGGAAGAGTGCCGTAAACAGGCGGGCGAAATTAACATGGCGGTTCCCGGAAAGAGACAGAGACAAGGGGGGGGGGGGAAGAGAAAGTCGGAGAGGGAAGTGCCCGGGGCAGTGCCTGGAGCAATGCCATGGGAGGGAAAAAGGCGGACCGTGATTTGTGACCCCCGGAAAATAACAACAAGGGTCAAAACTGAAACCGCATCTAACCCAACTATACTGCCGTTGCGAAATTACAAGGCCTTCCTTCTTTCTTCCTTCCTTCCCCTTCTCATCCTCCTTTTCTTTCTTTATTTATTTCTTTCTTAACCTTCTCCACTTTTAGACGTTTCAGACTCCGCTTTGGCTATCGCGCGGACCGCAAAAGGATAGACGATAATGAAGAAGAGCAACGAATAAATATTAACCGAAGGAATAAGCGTCTAGCCTCGCGGCCGGCCTCACTGTGACCTTAACGGAACCCTCGACGATCCTCGCGCGCTTTGATCAGCCACAGCGAAACCGAAAGCACGGGCTCGTCTGCAGGCAGAATGATTCGCGGAGTCGTTTCGGTCGCTCTGTCTCTCTCGCACTCGTGGGGCGTGTCGTATGCGTGCGAGAGAGACAGAGCGAGGGGTGCACGCCCCTTGCAGACCGGCAGAGGAAGGCGTGTCACGCGACGGAGACGAAGAGTCGCAAAAAGAGAAAAGCGGCGGTAAAAGTATAAAGTGCACTTCGGTTGCACTTCGGAGGCACTTCGGTTGCAGTTCGGAGGCACTTCGGGACCGGGGAAGGAAGAGGCGGCCACCATTACGACGGGTCGCGTCATCCCAGCCTAAGTCCAAATTGATTTCCGGTGTCTGGCCGTGAACGCCGTGGCGACACCACCGTCTGCCGCGCTTGTGTCTGCGTGTGTGTGTGTGTATGTGAGTGAGTGGGTGTTTACGTGGTGGTCGTGAACTTGAGGCGCTAATGCGACCCGGGGATCGAGCGGGAAGGGGAGAAGTGGGCATCTGCATAAGCCGGCCGTGCCACCGGTTTCCACCGCCGTGCGTTTCGGGGGGAGTTGCCCAACAAGCGAAAGTGCTGTTACTGTCTCTATCGCTCGGCAGCGTCAGCGGGCAATGTGAGGAGCGGCGACACTTGAAACCCACCTCCCTCTTCCTTCCCCCTTCCTTCTCCTCATCTACCCGCCGACGGTTGAGTGGAACTTGTCGAGGAAATAACTGCATGTAAATTGCGCAGGGGTGGAAAACGGAAAATTTGCATTAAGTGTGCTCTGTAAAAAAAAAAGAGTAACGCGTCGGGACGCGGCGAGTGCGTGTGGGCGGCGCGTTAATCGTTTAAAAGAGCAATTTGCGTGGACAAGAAAAGTACACTGTGAGAGTGAAAAGCTGAAACAATAAACAAGCAAACAGAACATTGCTTTTGTTTCTATAGCTGGACGCGCAGAGTTGTTTCAGTGAGAAATAGTTCAAGAAGGTAATGTGGCGAAACGGTAACTGGGGATTAAGTCCGTGACGCGTGGGAGGGTAGAAAGAAAGGAAACGGGGGAACGGGGAATTCCCTGCGCTTCGACGACGCGACGCAGCGTTCTTCCTTCCGCGGCGAGCAGACGCCCCGGCCAGCGCAGTCAGCGTGTTTTGATGTAGTGCAAGGTAACGCGTTTCCAGAAGAAAGCTGAGCGCGCTGAGCCGAGGTGTGCGGGAAGGGCGCCATCCCATCCGACGACTCGTTGCACCTCTCTCGTGGTCAACTTGCCCCCGTGATTTCTCCCTCGGCCTGACAAACTCAGTGGCGGCGGAGCGAAATCCACGGGAAAGATAGTCCGGCGGCAGGCTGCAGCCAAGGCAGCCCCGCCCAAGGCATTGTTCCCCGGCAGATCCAAGGCGGGCAGGCTTTCACCTAAACAGTATTCTTCCTCCTCCAGGCTGGAAAATGTTTAATGAATGGGATTTGGGCGCGTTAGCGTCGAGCCAACGCAGCGAGCGGTGCGCGGCCCGGCCCGGCCTGGACCAGCCACCAGCCAGCGGGATACGCAGCGTCCGAAAAGTTTGCGCGGCTGCAAAGTGAAAAGGAAGAGGGCAGCCCCCGAACTAGGTTATTAATGTCGGTGCAAACCTAGATACACACACACACATACACACACACACACACACACACACACTGGCACTGCGAAGCGACTTTGGCCGCCCGCGGCAACGTCCTGACGCCTTCTCTGGACGGCCGGCCGAGCGTCGAGTGGAACACGGAGCGGCGGCGGTCTCGGAGCACAAACTAGGCAGACACTGCTGCAGCCGACGGAACAATGTAGCCGCTCTGTGGCGGCTGGTGTGTGTGTGTGAGTGTGTGTGCCCTCACTCCACACAGACAGCGTTATTGGGAGGAGTGCTAATCAAGAGCTGTTCTACCGATAGCCCGCATCGCGCTAAGCACACGCGGGCCTGACCACGTGAACACACATACACACCACACACACAGACACACACAAACGCACACACACACACTCGCTTAAACATACACGCGCGAAGCACGACTTGCCGTTCCGGCTGATTGGATGAGGTAGAGAGTTTTCCTGCATCGTGTGCCGCCGTTTCTAATTTTTTTTTTGAAACTTTTTATTATATATTTTTTTCTTTTTTTGTCGCGCATCGGGTTGGCGTGTGGGTCCGTAATTAGGAGTGGCTCATCATCGAAGAGGAAAAGGGATGGAGGATCGAGAGGATGGGCGACTAACTGGGTGGAAAGGGGGCAGGGCGCCAGGGCCCCGGCCGAGGAGCGGATCAGGCAGGCAGGACGGCCAGACGCCCCTGAGGCAAACGGCGAAGCGAAAGTCCCCATTGTTTTGGGAAATTCCAGCCCATCAGGGGCCCACTGCGTCACTCACCCTTTCAGTGTTTCGCTCGGTTAGTGCCTGTGTCAGCTCGCCTGTGGCAGCTCACCCGTGTCAGCTCGCCTGTGGCAGCTCGCCTGTGTCAGCTCGCCTGTGTCAGCTCGCCTGTGGCAGCTCACCCGTGTCAGCTCGCCTGTGGCAGCTCATCAGAGCGTCCGCCAGGTCAGGTCTGCGGTCAACTACCCGCTCTCCGCGCGCTCGGGGCGGTTTCGCTCGAAACAAGAGTCGGGCAAAGTGCGCGTTACAGCGGCCGGCAGGCTGGAGTCGCTTTCGTCTCTCTAAAGAGAACG